ACAGCTGTATCGCCGTACAACACGTTTATTTTATCCCAAATATCTTGAGAAGTTGTGCAATTAATTAAATTTGGGTGCAGTTTCTTTTCTACCGAGCTTAGAAGGATCACCGCTGCTTGCGATGATTGCTTCATCCATGTTTTCCAATCATTTAATTTTGTCTCTTTGTCGTAACTCCAAATTTCCACATGGAATAATTTGAGCCATCTCTATCACTCATGATGAACTGCTAAGGTAACACGCAAAACTACCGACTGACAAAACAAAACGAACTTTTTAAATTTAAACGCGTGCGAGGCGAATTTTTACTTTGATATCGATATACTGGCGCAGTGAAAGCGTGCTGGGCCCATAACCTATTGAAGTTTTATAAGTATTCGATAAAAGCTTCAATTGAGTTTAAAGTAAATTAGTATATCTTTATTAAAAGCACAGAATACACACCCACACAGAAGCGAAGGCTTTGGCGGTACCTCTGATGTTTCGTGTGCAATTTTCCGTGACCTTCACACTACTTGGCTTCAGTGCCGGCTCGGTTTTTAAGAAATTTATTTATTTTACCAGTGGCGGTTCTGTTTTTAGGAAGTATTTTTTATTATTATTTAAAATATATTATTATTTAAAATATTAATTAATTGTATATTGAATTCAGTATATATTTCCTAAGTCATTAAATGTTTTAAGTCATTATAATAAACGTGTTATTTATTTATTTATTTATTTATTTCTTGTAAAATGAGCCATACTTTTATTAAAAGTGTTTTAATAAGTTTTTACATTAAATTATTATTCAGCCTGTTCATTATTAGGAAAAATAATTATTATATATATATAATTTTAGCACTATTTTAAAAAGAATACTGAAATATATATATATATATATATATATATATATATTAGGGTGTCCCAAAAAAAGAATATTTTTTTTCTTCTCGTCTCTTGTGAAAATATGTTGGTTTGTCATGTTTTAAGAGCCCTGTCAAAAGATCAGCACCATTAAAAAATGTTTAGGGGTCGCTCAAGATTTTTTTTAATTTAAATTTTTTTTCTCGTTCCAATATTATTTTTTAATTTAAAAATAATAATGATTCTGAAAATTTCAAATCGGTATTTTAATTTCTAAAGGTCGCTCAAGATTTTTTTAACTTTCTAAGTAGAGTATTTTGAATGTTTTCGAGCGACCTCTGAATATAAATATCAACGAACTTTTAGCGACCTTTAGAAATCAAAATATTGATTTGAAATTTACAAAATTTTTATTTTGAAAATTTTTAAAAATCTTGAGCGACCCCTACAAAATTTTTAATCGAGCTGATATTTTGAAAGGGCTCTTACAGCATAAACTAACATATTTTTACAAGAGACAAGAAAAAAAAATATATTCTTTTTTTTTTGGGGACACCCTAATATATATATATATATATATATATATATATTTATTTATTTATTGGTCCAAAGATCATAGCAAAATTCGCATTTCTAATTTATTTATTTTTATTAGTTTTATTATTGTTTTATACCATTTCCTTAATTTAATACATTATAATTGATTTGTAATTTCCAAAAATTGTTTTAAATATTTATTTAACGGTCATAAACACTAGTTAGTATCAAATTATTACTTTCCATGGCTCCCTTATTATCAAACTAAAAAATGAACTTGTAATAATTTTGTTTGGACCAAAATTAAAAAAAATAAAAATAAAAAATAAGAATTTTGTTATAAAAATTGGTAAATGGGGTTAGAATAATATTCTGAACAACTTTTTCCAATAACTTTTTTCGATATCTCTAACGCGAAGCAAAATATCGAGAACTGGCCCTGTTTGTGAATTTGTAGTAGGCCAAGTTTAAAGTTCAGATTTCAGTTGAGTAGCTTAAAAAATGTGACCCATCAACATGTATAAATGTGAAAAAATTCAAACCTTTATTCCTTCAAATAGCGAAAATATGGGGGTGTCTTCATATTTATTTATTTATTTATTTATTTATTAAAGAAAGACTCTACAGGAAAATTTTCCCAATTACAGAGCTTTTTCTAAAATTAACTTAAAACTAATTAACTTAAGACTAATTAACATAATATGTATTATAACTTCTATTCCCACTTAAATCTATTTACCAAATAAAAAAAAACAATACAATACAATACAATACGTATTCCCAATACAAAACGAAAATCTCCAAAAAAAAATATCCACAATGTTACCTAAAACTATCTTAAAATTTAATTGATAAACTTTGATTCCTACCCAAACCAATATTAAGTGCGACACACTGTATATACATAAATAAATACAAAAAATTCTAATTATCACCTTACATATATATTAATTGATTGATTAATTGATGTAAATTTATGTATTAAATGTATAACATTACTTTAAAATAAATATATTATTATGTTGGCGAGAATGGGTCATGTGGCCCAGCAGAGACATACATTGTCTTATTTTTAATACTCCATAACCCAAGCCTCAACAATTAAAACTACAAATAAACCATAGTACAAAGTTTATTGCAAATATTTTATTTAATGATAGGTATATATATATTAAAAAAGGGTAATAACATTTCCTATCGATTTTTTTAAATAAAAAAACAGTTTATTTGTCTAAAAAAACTTTTTCAGGTTTACAGAAAGACACCTCTAAATAGTTTGAACAATCTAGGTTTACATATAGAACAATACATAAATTTATAATTATATATCACAGTTATCATCATATTTTTATTAAAAGTTTCATAACAGACCAATCAATATAGTATTTTAAATTTGCAAAATGCCATTTTCCATGGGGTGTATAAAACACCCTGTATAATATTTAGCCATAAAATTATTACCATCTCGCAACTTGATTAATACTTAAAAAAATATGTTAAAGGATTCTGTTTTTCTATCAATAAAAATCCCTATTTGCATATTTAAAGCAATTAAATATCTTAAATCTAATAAATAATTTTAAAATATACAAATATGGAAATTCAGGACAAGGATGAACAAATTTAATGATTTTCAATGTATTTAAAAATTGGTAAGATATGCTCTGACCAATGCACACTTCATTAAAAATGGATGTAAAGTTCTTTTCTAATTTATAAATATAGTATATAAATTTTGGCCCTTAACCCTCCATATACACTTTGTTTATTATCAAATGATTTAAAATATGTTAATAAATGACCACTATCTAATTCTTCACATACTTTTGAAAACTTACACATATATCACATTTGTGGATGTTTAGTGCCTTTTTTATTAAATATCCACAAACATAAATCTATGCATTTTGTACAGTCAACTTTTCCTTTCTGTAATCATAATCAGTTAGTGTGAAAGCAGGTTTTTGTTGGGCAGTTTTATTTTTGACATGAATTACAATACTTGAATTATTATTCATCAACAATTTCCCAACATCAACTTTGCAATTCATATCAGTTGAATGGAGATAATTCTGACATAACAGTTTACGAAAAGCCCTTTCGAACTGTATGGGTGTGGGATTTACATGTAAATTCTGCAGAATTGCCACCTTGTTGACGAATACTGCCAAAGAAGTTTTCAATACAATCTGTATTCACCCTCCTTATTTTTAAATATTTAAAATTAACGTTAGACAAGTGCTGCCAAAGTCTTTGAACTCCATTTATGGTGATTACCCAACATTTTTTGGCTCTGGACTCGGAAGAAACATCTTGTCCATTTTTATTTAGAATTTTAATATTTAAAAAAAAATTAACCATAGTATTTAAATGTTGAAGTTGATTCTTGCTATTATCAAAAACTTTTTTAAATTCATTTGGGTGTTGTAAATTAAATGAATTTAAAATGTCAAATAGCCTGTTCATGTTTTCTAATACTTGTATGATTCCAATGGCATCTTGTGGTAGTGCACCAAGAGTCATATATGTATGCATACCACCCTAAACTGTATTGCTAAATACTTGTGCAGCAAGTCTTACCTTCATCTTCTCAAAATTCGAAGGGTAAATGTGACTATTTGTAAGTTTTGGAGCGCACTTGTAAAATCCTTTTTTGTCTTATTATAAAATGTTTCAATAAAAGACCAGGACGTTTTTTTATCATTAAATACAAAACTGTTTGGCATCATTGCATTTCGGGTGGCCTTTATCAAATGACATGTATCATAAATGTAAACAATTTCCTTATCATCTTCATAAAAAACGGGATTTTCAGGAGTAACACCTAATAAATTTGATAATTCAATGAAGTTGGTTCCCATATCGCTTAAGCGGCCATCTACATGGAAACCCAGATTGGTTAGTTTTCTTATACACTCTTCAATTATGGGTTGTAACTTTTGTGCTTTTAGCTAGGAACTTACAAAAAATATGCAATGGGTTGCTTCCAATTGGAATACAAATCTCTAGCCATAATTACCAAGGCGTTCTGTGCTGCAGTAAATTCCTTTTGTCCATTCCCACTGTCCACAATTCCCACAATTTCATCGCGTCCAGTTTGATAAAAAAGATTACGTTTAAGAGACATTTCATCAATGCATATTGTACAATGTTTATCTTGCTCTAACATTGATTTCACTTTTATTTCCAGAGCCTTAAATATTGCCTCATTTTCCAAACCTGGTAGGCATACCAGTTTTTCAGTCATTTTTTCCAAAGTTCGTTTGCTTGGGAGGTACAATATTTTCCCCATAAAATTATAAGCTCCGGGACTCAAGAAATACAATGTTAATGCAAACTGCTTATATGCTTGGGAATGATTTTTTTGTTTAAAAATTTATTGTGATTTAACAATTTCTGCTAGAGGTGGATTTAAATATTCATCACACAAATTAAAGAATTCCTCTAGTGATGACTTCTTCCTTGTTCTAGGTAGCTTCTTCTTTTTTAAAATACTGCGCCTTAAATCCCTTACTTTCTGTCTTAACTTTGATTTTCTTGGCGAGTAAGCACTTAATATAGCTGGTGTTTTAGTTGAAGCTGTTGGTGACAGGAAAGGCGGAGTAAATGCTCTTTCTTCAACCATTGTAAGGTTGAGAACACCACTTGAGCCTAAAATTTGAAATAAATGTAGCTAATGCAAATATCAAAATAATTACTAGCATTACCTAGTTGGCATCAACTCTTCTTTGAAATCACCACCTACATTTCCAGGAATAGGACTCAAATTAACAGTTGTTTGTGTTGCATCTGGTGGTGCCAGTAAAGAGGGTGTAATTTTTGTCTTGTCCAAATTAAAATCAAATATTCCACTTGGACCTAAAATTAAATGTAGATAAGTCTAAGCGTCTTAAATCTTATCATATCAATAATATAGATGGGTGTGAAGCGTGCACCATAAGTTTTTTTAATTCTTATGATCGAAATAGCAGGAATGTAGATTAGTTTTGATATAATTTTTATTACCAACCGAAAATTTCAAGAAGATAATGTTTAAAGTACTTTAAACACTTGTTTATCCAAATCCTGAAATCATATTAAAGTATTTTTAGAAAATATGTGATACATACTCGTATTATGTAAAAATAACTTTAAAAATACTCTTATATGATTTCAGGATTTGGATAAACACTTTAAACATCATCAACTTGAAATTTTCCAAATGTGGCTTAGCTCCCTTATTGCCCCGAGCTCTTCAAATAAGAATTTGTCCTGACACCTGATAACATAAACCCTGGTGTCGCTGCTGCTTAGACTAAAACGTAAATGTTAAAATAATTAGTAGCAATACCTATAGTGGGCTGTGTAGTCGATTCTTTTTCCAAATCATATATGCCTCTTTTTTTTTGAAAATGGGAAAATTGTGGGAACTGCTTGGGCAAATAATGTTTTCCTTGTTGCAGCTCTAGAAATACATTTTGCTTCAAAATGATATTCGCACAGTCTATAATTTTTGTGTAGTTCTTCCACACTTTTTTCAAGCAAATCTTCTCGATTTGCTGCTTTTAACCACACTTCAGCCCTATAATATAATTAACAAATTAATAGTTAGGAATGTTATTCAATAAATATAATACCTAATGAAGTCCTTGGGTATTGTAAAAAGACTTGTCCCTTTACCTGTTTTGGACGAGCATCCACGGCAAATACACAAAAATTCACCTTTTGGAGGCATATTTTCTGCACAGAATATCCAAATATATCCAAAATAGCCGAACACTGGTAATAAAACAACAAATCGCAAAACTTTTAACGAATAAAAAAAAACAAAATATCCTATTATCTATAACATGAAATATCCAACACTGGTAATAAAACAAATTGCACAATTTTCAAAAGTAAACAAAACTAATAAAAACACTCAAAATATCCTATAGGTAACCGAACACTGCAGTAAATTGGTAAAGAGAATCAACATAAAAGTGAGGTTGACAATAATACTACTTAAAACATGGCTGCGTATTAGAAGTTGGTTTTGGCGGGAAGCTTAGCCTTCGCTTCTGTGTGGGTGTGTATTCTGTGATTAAAAGTAAAAACAATACATAGATTTAAACGGTAGAAATAAATATGCTTCGTTGCAATTCTTAAAACACACTTACTTGTAGCCTAAATAATAACACTGTGCAACAAATGTTGACCTTACAATTTGAACTGGGATGAAATGTGGAAAAATCGAATCTATGCAACCCCCAAAACTAATCTTTAAAGGGGTTTTGCTAGTTTAGCTCGAATAATGGAGATATACAGGGTGTTTCTTTTAACTTGAGACAGCTCAATATCTCGAGAAATACGCATTTCACGGAAAAATGTCTTAAATAAAAGGTTAATGTGACCAAAGGGGACATTATTTAGTGCTACCGCTAGCCACCCTCTACCCCTCCTTAAGGGTGAAACGGGGGGTAACTTTGGAAAGTCAAATGGAAAGACCCGATTTTTTTCACAGAGTTTGGTATTACATAAAAAAATAAATAACTTTTATTTAAAACTTTTTTCAATTTATCAACAGATGGCGCTGTAATTCAAAATTTAAGAAAAAGGGGTTTCCTTGTAAAATGTATTATTTGAAACGTTTGAAAAACAAAAATTAACATTAAATCAACAATAGTCGGCTCTGAAAACAATTTATAACAAATGTTCGAAATGTCGTCCTTCCATTTCGACACCAAGTGGAGCACCAGCGTCCCTGGTCGGTAAACGTTTGGTGCGGTACCTTAAGCGAACGATTAATCGGACCCTTCTTTATTGACGGTGCATTAAATGGCGAAAAGTACCGGAATTTTCTAGAAAACGATCTGACGGACCTTTTGGAGGATGTACCACTAGCACGGCTCCAAAACATGTGGTACCAGCAAGATGGTTGTCCTGCACATTATTCAACAATTGCTCGAGAGGTGTTGGATCGGGAGTTCAATGGCCGGTGCACCGCGGTGGATCGGTAGACGTGGTCCAGTAATTTGGCCTGCTCGATCACCTGATCTTACGCCACCAGACTTCTTCCAGTGGGGTTACTTGAAAGAAAAAGTTTACGCTGCAATTCCTACAACTTGGGAGGACATGGTGGAGCGGACCAGGAACGCCTGTGCGGCGATACCGCCCGACATGTTGGCGCGTTGTGTGCCAGAATTCATTACCCGCATTGAAAAATGTGTTGAAATGGAATGACGACATTTCGAACATTTGTTATAAATTGTTTTCATAGCCGACTATTGTTGTTAATGTTAATTTTTGTTTTTCAAACGTTTCAAATAATACATTTTACAAGGAAACTCATTTTTCTTAAATTTTGAATTACAGCGCCATCTGTTGATAAATTGAAAAAAGTTTTAAATAAAAGTTATTTATTTTTTTATGTACTACCAAACTCTGTGAAAAAAATCGGGTCATTCCATTTGACTTTCCAAAGTTACCCCCCGTTTCACCCTTAAGGAGGGGTAGGGGGTGGCTAGCGGTAGCACCAAATAATGTCCCCTTTAGTCACATTAACCTTTTATTTAAGACATTTTTCCGTGAAATGCGTATTTCTCGAGATATTGAGCTGTCTCAAGTTAAAAGAAACACCCTGTATATCTCCATTATTCGAGCTAAACTGGTAAAACCCCTTAAAGGATTTGTTTTGGGGGTTGCCTAGATTCGATTTTTTCAGATTTGATCCCAGTTCATTTTTTGTGTTGCACAGTGTAATTTGCTGGACTATAGGTCCAAGTAGGAGTCGGTCATATGGGACCTTTGACGTTTGACATATTTTATGAAAGGTTTGTTTTGAATTGATATCTAGGTTTTGGTTTTAAACATAAAAAAATAAATTTATCAAAGGACCGCCAGCGGCCAATACATTTATATAGCAGGGGGGGCAGTGAACCAACTATAGAAGTTGGACACCATCAACGTCTGCATGTTTTGTCTGAAAGTGAAAAAGTATAGAGTACAGTGAAAGTTGGTTTAGTGTTACATTACATGAAAGCAGTGTTCGTGACAGTAAAGCGCTTAGAGCTAGGTTAGTAGTGTAGTATTAGTAAACAAAATGTAACAAAAACCATGCTAGATTTGCAGTTTACAGTTTTGGCTGAAGGCGTGTTATACAAGTGGGAGATTGATCTTCGTTGTTTTAGTATACTATTATTTTTTTTAGTATTAATATATTTATTATTATTATTATTTTTTTTTTCGATTAAGAGCTCCATCTTTTCAAAAAAAAAAAAATACAGTGTAGGTTAAAACATGAATACAAGCAGTGTAGAAAGCAAATAAATAAATGAGTAATTAAGACAATTGAACAAACGTATGCTTAAGCAGAACATAATAACTAAATAAGCATAATAAATAGGTAGAGAACAAAGAATGTAAAAAGTGTAAATATCATAGTGAGCATTAGTAAGAAAGAAAAGATCACATGGAAAGCAGTTACAAACTAGTTATCACAGCGTTTGGTTAAGATCTGGTATCACAGGTACTCAGGTAGGCTTTAGGGAGGGATGTGGGGGGGTAGGACAGGGTCAATGTTGTATCCAGTAGCACCTCTCGCACCCCTATATTTTCTCCTATCATTAGGATCATAGTTTATGCTATCGATTGCGAGCGGGTTTTCACAATTTTCGCACCTTTCAAGTGCTTTTCGTGCAGAGTTTTTTAAGTAGTCTATGAGGTTTTCCATATTTAGGTCGTTTCGTAGCTGCACATTTCTAACGTACCATGGTGCTACACCTCGAGCTTGCCCAGGTGTGATTTTGCCGCAGAAACCCATACAACTGCAGCATAGGAGAGGGTAGGTCTTATTAAGCATGTCCAGAGGAGCCGTCTGTTTTTAAGGTTTAGCTGATTATTGGGAAATGTGACGGGTTTAATGTTTTCAATTATCCCGCATGCTTTGGCTCTGATGTGGTCTATTTGATTTTTCCATGTCAGCTTCTTATCTATGACTACACCCAGGTACTTTACGCAGTCCGACCAAGGAATGAAGGTGTTACCATATCTTACCCGCTCCGGTATTGATCTACCTCCTTTTGAGAGGATAATCGCTTGGTTTTTAGTGGGGTTAACCTTGACCCTCCACTGATCGGCCCAGTCCTCAAACATGTCTGTGGCTTGTTGTAAGTGCCTATGGATTATGTCATCCCTTCTGTGCGTAGTGAATAGGGCGGTATCGTCCGCGTAGAAAGCGTATTTCACTTGGTGTATGAAGGGAATGTCAGACAAAAACACACTGTGTCTAGTGCCTAAATACAAAACAGAAGTTTATTAGGGCGGTTTAGATTTTACAAGTAGGTACACTTTCAGAATATAATTTATTACATAATCTTTACGTAATGAACAAAACTTAACACTAATAACAAAGAAGTTTCAAATTATGACTAAACCAACCAATATTAAAATGTATCCAAAATTATTGTAACGGGTGCAACATATATTTTAACTTCGAAAAAAAAAGACATTTAAATTTTTATCGAGTAATGAAACTCTTCCGTGTTTATTCTTAAAGTTAGCTTCTTAGTATTACAAAGTACTAAGTTTTTAAGGTTATAAATTACGTCGCAATTAAACTATTTGCATATTTTGTGTAACAGGTCTGAAACCATCACCCTCACTAATAAAAAAGGTCTTACCTACTTGAAACCAAAGATATCTTTGCTTGAAACTACCAATATACTTGCACTGGAATCTCAAAAACGTGCACCTTACCTGACAGTAGACAGCAGACTGACAAGCTGTCAATAAGATGACACGATAGCTTGCAAATTTAAAAAGAAAATGCTCTACGAAAAACAGAAGAGGTTGCCACTAAAAACTGGTTAATTTATATACATTTGGAAAAAGCTGAAATTTTTATTTTACGTTATTTCGACAATATTAATGAGGACTTCGGATATAGTTTTTGTTTTGTTAAATAACATATCTGAATTTTTGTCGAGGTGGGGTAAGGTTTCGTTGAAATACCCCCCTATCTACTTTTTTACAGTTTGATTTATCTCAAGATGAATTTAAAAATATATATCCAGGTAAATTTAAAAATATAAAACAGATGAATTTAAAAATATATAACACATATTTTTATTCTATAAATAACAATTATATGAGTCATAATAAACACTTAGCTCGCTAGTAAAGAAAAAATTAAACAATAAGTAGGTTCATTTGCACGCTGACAAATTTCTGCTGTCGCAAATTTAAAAAATGCGTTATTCTTTGTGTTAATGGTTAAAATCGATGTTAAACCCAAATATTTTTTATTTTTATTTTAAAAGCTTTTCATGCACATGACTACGTCTGGTTTTCATCTAAGGGTATTGATATTTTCAAGAAGGGCAATAAAATCCCACTTTTACCTAAGATAAGAATTTTTAGGGGCTGCATGAGACCTCGACACATTTGTAAAAACCTAGCATTAAGTTTGTTCACTTATTCATGTACACATGTAACATTTACATTAAATTTATATTTGTTTATTAAACTATGTTAAACTATGATATTTCAACAAATACGCGAAAAAATAACTAAAATAATTATGGTCCTTCGAACCGGATAATCAACGGTTTACATTTAACAGTTTTTTGTGCACACCGAAATGGTCAAAGTTGCATCAAGTCAATCATCAGGTTCCTCACGCATAGATATTCAGTTTTTTATGCACACCGAAATGGTCAAAGTTGCATCAAGTCATTGGAAGTAATTGGAATCATTCATCGAATTCATCACATATGGACATCGCCCACCTGGAAATCTGGATATCGCCACTCA